TTGTTGCCTTGTGGTAATTTTATACAGCAAAACACTGGGAGTAACAAACTGTTAATGGCCCAATTATTTGTGTACAGTGGGATCATGAGCTTCCGAGTGATTTCCCTTATTAAGCCTGGATGTCTGGTTCCCTGATGCCTCAAAAGCCCTGATCAGGACCAGACCCCTGCTGAATACAGACACACTGAATAAGGCTTTTATTTTTGACCAAGATAGTGCTATGAAGAAACAGTGAGTAATCCAGTTGTAGAAAAGAGAGAGGATGAATGAATATAATAGCAAATCCCATAGTTAGGCCTTTTACCTTCCTACTTGTTTTTCTAATTTTGAATCATTTATTGAATTTGTTTGCAGTGGGTTTAGTATTATAGGTTGTTCTTTTACATTGCTTCAGGTAACATACTGTAGATACCATTTTCTTGAGGTGTGTGTGTGTATGTGTATGTTTGCTTTCAATATCAGCCATAATATCCCTCTTTGAGATGTGACATTTTGGGGGATATCTAATTTCTGAGGCTGTGTAGATAAAATTGTGACACAAAACCAAATAAAGGCTTTTTTTTGGCACAGCTCAGCTCTTTTTCACTTTTGTTCATTGTAACATCCATGTTTGGTATCTGCTTACTTCCAAATTACCTTTGCAATGAAAACACATAAAGGAAATTTCAGCTTTGAGTGTTGTTTTCTTCTAAAGGATTTTGGGGTGAGGAAAATAGAAGTGCAGGGTCTTAGAATTTAAAAAGCTTTAGACTTGGAGCTAGCATTTTTAATACATTGCTGCAAATTCTCGACCTGCATAAGCTGTAGTTTGCTTTATCCCCAAGACAGTAAGGGAATTTTGATGTACAGCACATCTCTCTATTTCAATAGCAGGCTTTTCTTTTTGTGCGAGCACTTTTTTTTTTTTTCTGTGCAGAATTACATCCTAATAGGATACATATCATTACTGTGTCTGTGTTCCTAGAGATTTTAAGCTGCTTGTTTATTTTTTCAGCTCTGAAATGTTGATTTAAAGGTCAGTGTGGCTAGCTATTATCTCTGGTGGGTTTTTGCACTGCTGTTTGGCAATTTGGAACAAGAGCTGTGATGCTTTTTGTGTGCCTTTCCAAGTGATGTTAGTCATCCAAAATGTCGGCTCCGATAAGAAGATTATTTTAGCAAAGAAATGGATGTGCATTGTTATGGTTTCTTTAGCTTTGCTGTTTCTCTGCTGTGTTTTTGTCATCAATGATTTCTTAAGAATCTGCAAATCCAAAGGCAACCATTTTTCCCCAGTCAAGTAAATGGTGCCTTTGCTAGGAAAATTCCTGTTGTCCAGGAGCTTTTAGAAAACCAGAAATGCTGTGCAAAGAAAGCAAAATATATTTAATTCAGTTGAACAATATGTTGACATAAACTGAATAGCAAGTCTTACTGCAGGCTGCACATGAGAAGGGACTGCCTTCTGCTGCTTTTTCATAAATACTACTGATTAGCAAAACCTTTCATTCTGCCTAGTGATTTACTGAATTCCTCCTGTTTCCCCATGCATTCCCATTTGGCTCCCACGTCATGTCTTGGACTTGTAACATGTTATTTCTGCAGCAGCACAATGCAGACACACTGGAATGGAAATCAAAGCAAGAGCTGCTTTTGCTTTGCTCAAAGGCAAGCAAAAGTGGGGTTTCCTTACTCACTTGACACTGGTGGGATGGTGAAACACGAGAACATCAGGCACTGTCCCCAGTACTGCATGAACTAGGGCTTCACAGAAATCAGGAATTCACAGTTTTGTTGCCTGGAGGCCTTGAAGCATGGGCAAATGTGGAAATTTCTCCACAGTCATAGATGGTAAAATAGCTTGGCCCAGTGTGCTGTGCTGGGGTAAGTCAAGAGGAAACCTGGGTCATTTACTCTTAGTCATTTATGTGTTAGATAATCTCTTCTTTTTTGAACAGTCAGGACAGTTTTATCTAATTAGATATACACTTAAAGACAGACACATTCTTCCAGAACATTGGGTGTTATTTATTGGAAAGTTAGAAAATCAAACCTGTTGTTTATCTTAAAAACTGGATGCCTCCCAACTCCTTTCCCACTCCTTCTCCCTGATATTGTACTGTCTCTACATTACTGCTTCTGTTTAATTATTCATAGCCCATATATAACACCACCACTTAGAGCAGGAATGGGAAACTACTGCACTCTATCCTCTGCTTTATGCAGTTTAGTCAGGTAAAGTCACCCAAGTCACCCAAGCAGAATCTTTTGTTGGTAGCTAAAGGTGTCTGTAATTGGATGCTCACGGTGCTGTTGACGAATGATAACTAGAGTGAGTTTATGTGCAAGTTTTGATACAATTTAAAGCTTTGTGCTGCATGAAGAAGCACAAAGTATTCCCTTTGTTATGGACCCGAATGACTCCTAAGGAGCTGCTGACCTGGGAAAGTATCAGCAGGCTTCCTTAAGTGAGCATTTATTTTGCTTTTTGCTTGCATTCTTTTAGCCTACAGACTATGGTGCAGTGAGAACACAAGGACTGAATAATTTAGGCCTGATGTGTGATACCACACAATAAAATGGCTTAGCACAGTACAGGTTTCCATATACTAGCTTAGGTGTAGTGTCCTGTGTACATAAAGCATACAAAAGGTCTGGGCTGAGGGCTAAGAAGGATTGGAAAACACTGAAACCACAGCAGAACTTTCCTAATCTCTGTGTATTTTTCCACTCTGTCCTGTGGAGCATCTGCATTCTCACAGTTGCTAATGGTATAGTTCAAGGCATCTCTGTTTCTGCTCAGAGGGATTTTGTCCTTTGCATTGTCCATTTTTATGAATTTGATATCAGATGAAGTATCACAGAATATCTCAAGTTGGAAGGGGCCCATAAGGGCCATCAAGTCGAACTCCCTGCTCCTCACAGGACTGCCTAAAGCCGAACCACGATCAGGAGCCCCAGTCAGGTGCTCCTTGAACTCTGCCAGGTGAGATGCTATGATGACTTCCCTGGTGACTGACCACCCTTTCAGTGAAGAACCTTTTCCTGACATCCAATCTGGACTTTCCCTGATGCAGATTTGTGCAGTCCCCACCTGTCTTCTAGAGGAACCAAATGCTTGGGCCCCATTTGGTATGAAAAGATGTCCTCTTTATATAACACTAGTGTGGAAGTGAAGCCCCGATTAGTTCAATTTCAAGTACTAGTGTGGCACCATTTTTGTGCCATGTATTTTAACAGTAGGAGATGATTACATGCCAAAAGATAGCATAGTTAAATTGCATAAGTTATTTTAAAGTTACTGTAAAATGCACCTTTATTTTTTCCTGCAAGCAATTTGTTAAACATGGATGGCCTCTGTTAATAAAACTGTACTGACACTTCTTGATACTGCAGATGTGGGAATGTGATAAATGCACATAAAATATTGTGGTCAAAGTTGAGTTTCCTTTACAAAGGGTTTTTCACAAATATAGTATGCAGATATGGAAAGATTTGCTGAGACTGCATTCTGGGCATTTCTTTTCTTAAGTCATGTAGCCACTTCTAGTATTCAGTTACTTGAATGTCATTGATTATCTGGATATCTGAGATGCATTAGGTCCAGATTGCAGACAGCTTGTTAGTTATTCATGTTCCATCTGTTTAACTGATTTAAAAATTAGAAGTATTTACCCCATGATATAGGTCACAAATCTTTAACAATACAATTGATGTTTCTAACCAATACAGAAAAGATAATGCAGCAGGTTAATGTATTGTCCAGGCTGAATGACTTACAAAGTTGATGGAAAAATGAGTGACTTTAATAAGTAGTTTTCTAGCATATGGTCCTTATGAGATACTGCTATGAACAGAGTATAAAGGAATCCTGTGAAGAGGAGCTGAAATGAAGGACAAGAATGATATGTTGTAAGTCACCAGCAAAGGAAAAATAGGCTTTGAGAATGGTGGTGAGCAAAGAGGAGAACGGGCAGCTGTGATGTTTTCTCTTTGATGTGCAAGATCTCTCTGCAGGTTTTCTGATGAGGTACAAGCTCGCCAAGTACGGTGGCAAGGCAGTGTCATGCTCTTCTGAGCCCTGTTTAGGAAGGGAGCATTTCAGGCATGTGGTGGAGCTGAAGCCCTGATTTTTCATCCTGCTGTCTGAGCTAATGGACAGAACTTGTAATATTATGTGATGTGCTGTATACTTGTGCCAAAAAGAACCAAGAATACTTACTGAAGATAATGGGGTGGGACCCCTGAGCTGCAGGTTGAGCAGCAGTTGCACTTACTTCACTGCCCTCCATTGTCAGTTTGATGGCAGGCTGCAAATCTTTGTGTGTATTAGTACAAACAAATGGATATATATATATAATTTTTTATTCTATAATCAAATGTGAAGAAAAGCTGAAAGTATTTTCTTCTGTGAGTAATGAAAATTATAAGGCGGTATATGTAATAAAGCCCTCAAAGGAACAGATACTTTCTGGTTTTAAATGCTTCACCTCAGAGAATCATGGCATTGTTTAGGTTGGAAAAGACCTTTAAGATTAACAAGTCTGAGCACATCCCTAAGCAGCACATCTACACAGCTTTTAAATACTCCTGAGGTGGTGACTCAAACACTTCTCTTGTAGTTTGTTCCTAGGGCTAGCTTGACAATGCTTTTGGTGAAGAATTTTTTCCTAATATCCAATCTAAACCTGGTGCAACTTAAAACCATTTCATCCTGTTCTGGTGCATGTTACCTGGGAGAAGAGATCAACCCCCACCTCGCTACAACCTTGTTTCAGGACAGCATTGACCCTGTCCTTGGTCTGGTAACTTGAGTTTTGAGTTTTGAATGCATTTATGCATTCTTTTTTTCATCATTCCAAAACTCTTTTTACAAGGTAACCAAGTGCTCTTAATCAGAGTTGATGAAAGGCAGGCAGCAGATTGGGTCTGACATAATTTATAAAATTCTTTGGAATTATAGACACTGTGGAAGTATCAGAGTGAAATGTTGCTGAAGGTGTATTTTTTTTAAACTTTAGGCTGGGCGATGCAGGTTGCAGCCTTTGTTTTCGTTCAGAGAAAGTGGGAAGATGACAAGAGTCACTTCGAAAAAATGCTGGATTATTTCTGTGACATTCGTGAACCACTACAACTCCTCATCTTTCCAGAGGGAACTGATCTCACAGGTAGGCTGCATTTGTCATCTTCTCAGGGAATGTTCAACATGGAAATTCTTTGATGTTTATGGAAAGAGTTTAAGAAGTCCAAGGCAGGAGCAAGACTTGGTTCTCATGGGTAGTAGAAATTATAGTAAATGATCAAAGAATTGCTGATACGTGTGAGAGGCACAAACATAGTTCCACTGGGAGACTTTGCCAGTCTTCCTGAAATAACCTACATTGCAAAACATCTGCTGATTGACACTGCTTTTTATTGGTCAGTACTCTACATACACAGCATTAGCAAAAGCAGGTTTTAAGACCTGGAATATATCACTTGCATTCCTATTTCCTGAATTACTGTGATAAAATCATTTCATACCAATGAAAGAGGGATTGAAAAAGACTGATGATTCTATTTGATTTCTTACCTAATGTTTTAAGAGGGAACATGGAGATACTCGTTCCTTAGGCCACATAAGCACTGGAAGCACTCTCTATCTGCCTCTGTAAGGGAAATATCTCTGTAAAACAAATGTTGAGATTATCACAGGAGTAAATGTAATGAGTTTGACCCTGTAGTATTAATTTTTCATCAAATACCTACCTTGATGCAGGTATCTTATGACATCATTAGGAAGCTCTTAATCAATGTTGAAGACAACTCAAGTCCCTATAAAAGAAAATATTGTATGAATGTTCTGTGGTGGTTTGTGCCTCCAGCATGATGACTGATTTGATAAGTGTTATCTTTAAGTAGGAAATGAATTGCAATTAAGCTCCTAACTTTTTGCTTATTTTCAAGATTTTTGCTATACTTTTCGTTGCAGATATTCTCAAATCGTATTTTATTGCAAAGCCATGTCGATAAGAAGTAGACATGGTGTAAAAATAACTAGCATATGGTGCTATTTTGCCTTCTGTATTCCAGATATCCTTAAAATGGATATGTGTGTAGTATTCAGATGCTATCACACTGTAGGGAATTATCATCACTTGATCAGCCTTCCTTGAAGAGGATAAATTCATTGGACATTCTTGGACTTCTTCACATGACATCTCTTATTTAATTGGTTATCTTGTATCTAAAGCTAGGGAGAAGGATGGAATTTTCTTCACTGAAAGAGTGGTGAGGCAGTTGGACAGGGTGCCCAGAGCAGCTGTGGATGTCCCATCCCTGGAGGTGTTCAAGGCCAGGCTGGATGGGGCTCTGAACAACTTGGGATAGTGGGAAATGTCCCACCCTGCCCATGGCTGGGGGTTCGAATGAGATGGCCTTTAAGGTCCTTCCAACCCAAACTATTTCAAGATTCTATGCAATTATCTCACTTCAACTTTTTTTCTTTGAATTCATGAGGAACTGTTTCCTCCTAGCTCTAAATTACGAGGTACAATCTTTATCTTACTCATGAAGTCAGGAGACACCTTCTTAGAGCACTCCACTCTCTGAACAAGTGTTTCCATCTCAAGATGTCTGAAAGAATTGGATTGTTTGGAATTTATTCCATAAATTATGTATGCCTTCTAATCTCTAGAGGAATCTAATATTCCTGAGAGACAACAGATTTTTAAAGAATTGAGGAAGCTTTGTACTCCAGCTTTAAAAAACTGAGACAGCCACAGTGTGTTAACGTTTGTACTGCAGAGTCCAAAAGACAGTGGTGAGGATGCTCCCACCTGAATGTAAAGCTGCTTAAGGAAACACAGGGTTTTCTCTGTGCTGTAGTTACTGATATAAATGATTTAGACTAAACTTGGGTATAAGCTGTTGATACCCTTCACTGAGAAACTCATAGGAATAAGATTCTTTAATTAATAAAAAAAAAAAATCTAATTAAATTTCTGAACACAGGTTGTTGACACATTTTTTTTTTCCTTTGGTAAGATAATTCTGTTGTTCTGATTTCTCTTCTTTATACCTGTGTAACATGTTCTCTTTAACTTCACAAAGCCCAATGGAGATGCACTAACTGTGCTGTTCTGCTGAGGCCACCACAGGTGGATGTGAGCAGCCCAGGAGGAAGCAGAATGGAGGGGAGGATGGAGTGATGAGTAGGGAAGACAATAGGGCGCTGCTGTGCTGGCTTCTGGCATGTTAAAGTGTCCTGAGTTTGCCACTCTTAAATTGCCATCAAGTGTTGAATGCCACTTGAATACTACATTTGTACATAAAAGGATGACTAGAGATGGACAAACCCCTGTATTTTTTTCTCTGGAAGTAAATAGCTCTCCCTCTCTGATTGTCTTCACAGGAAATATTGCTTAATATTTATTGTAAAACACTGTAGGAGACAGGAAAAAATCCCTTGACAAGCTAATCCTGACAGAGCAGTAAATGTATGCCGTATGAGAATGCTAGAACATATGCACCATTTTGAATTATTGAATTATTTGAAATAATTATGAAATTATTTTCAGAAAATGGTTGCATTATTGACATAATAGGACCTGTTGCAACCTCATGTTCCATCCTTTAGAGTAAGAAATAAACTGATTTTTTTCTGAACAGATGCTCAAAATTGTAGGGAACATTTTGCAAAAATAGAGGCAGTGACACTTGTTTTCTGGCCAAATGGTAAAACTGCTAATTACTTCTGAAAACAAAATTCCTCTGGTGTTAAAATGAAGAGTATCATTCTACATCACTGAATAGTAGAATTGCTGTATAGCTCTGTGCTGCTGTCATACTTTTATCCTCTCAGTGGCCATGTGACTGTGATAGATTTACTCCTCTTTATAATATTTTCAGGTATTCGAGAATGAGATTTCAAAGAAATGTAAAATTAGACTGTATTTATATATGGGCTACTGCCTGCCTTTAAGGTGGTGAAGTACTTTGCTGTGGAAGATGCTACATAAATAAATTTTAGAAATAGTAATGTCATGAACCCTGAACATTGTATTTGCAGACTGGATTGTATAGGGGCTGAGGTGATAATTACATAATTGTATACTTATTTCTGATAGGTTGGCCTTCTTTTCACTCTGGAGTACTTGAAGGTTAAAGCTCAAAGGTATTTTATTGTAATTGCTTAAAAAGAAGTCCTCAGCAGGTAAACATGTAGCCAGACTTTCTGAAGCCCTGAAGAAAACAAAGCAACCATGAGTCTCATGCTTCCAGAAAGCTGGAATACAACCCCCCATACTGCCTGCTCTTTTGTTTTTCCTGGTGTTCCTTACAAGATTGTTTGTAGTAATTCTTCAGAAAACAATAACAGAAAAAAAAACCCCAACCAGTTGCTGTGTTGCTCTGTGCCTGGTAAAGCCTCATTTCCTCTGGATTTGTGTGTGCATCCCTGTACGTGGTCCTTTCTTCACTCCAATGCTCCTTTTCCCGTGTGTTCCTTCCATGTGACGCTTCCTCCGCAAAGCTCCTGCCGCTGCCTCGGCTGTGGCTGCCCCTGGCCAGTCCCGTGTCACCAGAGGGACTCGCATGCCGTGCTGAGAGCCCTGGCTCCCCAACAGCCATGGACCTGCCCTGCGTCCTCCCGTACTCACATCTCTCCTCTCAGAAGCTTGCCTTTACCCAGACTTTTCTAAAGCTTCTGCTGGGCTGGATTATCTTTGAATCTCTTGTCCCTGATAAACCGTGTTTGCAGGGGACAATGGCTTCAAAAGTTAAGGGGAGCAAACAAGTGGACAGAGTGTGATTGCACAGAGCTTTTTTCCTTGAGGAACAACTAAAAATCAAGTAGGAAAGCTTGCTGAAGTTCAGATTGTGGCAGGAGTGATGTGATGTGGGTGACAGAAGGTAACAATGAACTGCAGTTGGATTTTTAACTATGCTAGTGAATGTGATGTGCTTTGGTGGTGCAAAGAAAATATTGATCAGAATCACTGAAAGGGGTTACTCTAACATGGAAAAGGTTGAAAGTAGCTCAAGTAAGAAAAAATGCTTCATTTTTTTCTCAAAGTATTAACTGTGAGCCAATAAAGCTTTATCATTTCTATGCTAACCTCTGTAGGTAAATGAGGGTTTTATTTTTTATCCAATTTGAGAGACTTTTGGAGTACTCATTTACTCTTTCACTCTCTGGCACTAATATAATTTGAGAGTACTTGAAGTCATAGAAGAACATGCATGTTTTTATCAGTGTGTTTTTATCACAAGGGAAATTAAAGGAAATGGTAGTACTTAATATCAAATTTCAGCTCACAAACTAAAAATACCATTTTACTAAAAAAAAAAAAAAATTGTTTGTTTTATGCACAGCTTTTCAGGAATAAAAGAGATTTAACTTCTTTAAAATCTGTAACTCAAAAATCAAGAAAATGTGTTAGTAGCATTTCTTCCTTCACTTACTTTAAATGAAATTTTGAAGTGTGGTGCTTCTAGTAAAAGCTGACTTTGAGCTTTTCCAGTAATTTTAAAGTGTGGCAAATTTAGAGTGTTTTCTCCATTTTTGGAGAAAAATGGGAAAAAATATAATCAAATTATTTACCAAAGGTGGCACAGGAGCACAAAAAAAACCTAAGAACTTTTGGGAGGAACCCTTAAATTCTTGTATTTTTGTGTAGTTTGATAGTTGCTCGGCAGAAGAGTCTAAAGACTCAAATAAACTGGATGGTTGCACCTGTCACCACCCCAAAGAACATGCTCTGAGAGACTGCGTGCATTAGCTGAAGGACACGGGGGAGGAGAGGCAAGTTGGTGTGAGACCTGAGGAAACAGGGCATGAAACAGCCCTGGAAATGTCCCACATCACCCTCAGTTGATAAACTGGTGCTTTCCTTAAAAATAAGTTATTCTCCTTATTCTTTTTTTAACAGCAAATAGAAGCAATGGGTTAAAATAGTAGGAATAGGAATAGTAGGAATGATGAGCAAAAACCTGGGGACTAAATTTGCTTTGACTTAAATACAGTGTAGGAAAGAAAATACTTGTTCCTAGAAAGCAACACTTGCTCAACTTTTCAGAGGGTTTGGTGATAGGAGACATTACCTTTAGCCATCCAAATGATGTGAGTGGCCTTTTGAGACTGAGGTAAACTGAGTGCATTTCTAGGCCCTGTTTCAAGAGCTGCTTGATGCTATTTGTGTTGGTAGTTTGGAAGAACAGAACATATGTTTCCTCTTTTTGAGGAAGTTTTTAGGCATCTTTCTTTTTTTTTTATTATTCCACCTAAGACTGTTATAAACTTTCCTATGGAACAATAAGCCATCTGCATAAGTTTTGCTGCACTGACAGTGTAGCCTGGTCTATTGATTATGGGATTTTAAAGAGGCGTTGGTTGTGTGAATTCCCTCAAGCTGCTGAGGATATGAAAATGGGTTTCTAATTTCCTGGATCAGTTTTCTAACCTGTAGATTTCATAGAATAAGGAGCGTTGCATGTTCTGCCTTTTGTTGGCTCTGGTTCTGAGCAGAAGAATTTGCTCTGAATCTCCCCCCAAAAGTTTGGGCACTGGTGTCTGGCACAAGGATCCCAAACAGCAATGGGCACCAAGGTCCTTACATTGGATGAGATGGCAGTCAGAACATTTAGTCATAAGTAATAAAAGAGAAAGAAACTGGGTTTTTTTCCAATGCCAAGATTACAGAAGGGGGAGGAAGGGTATCATTCCTACTTTTTTTGTAGTGTGGAGGCTTATGCTACCCTTGCTTTCAGTATATCATCAAAGCACATTGACCTTCCTGACTTGCTGTAATAAATGTTTAATGCACAAAGACCTGTGGCTTTATAGTTGTTAGGAAGGGGAGAGGGAGATGATTTTTCCAGATGACAATGATCGTTGTTTTAGCTGGGAGCATTATTCTAGTTGTAAAACCCCATTACACTAGGGTCATGCAAAAGGGGAGGGGAACAGTCTCTGTTATATAAAACTTAGAGTCCAGAGGCAAGACAGGCATACAAATGTCAGGAAATAGCTGAATAGTGTTGGCCAGTGTGCTGATGTCCAGCTGTTCACACATTTCAGAAAGGCAGCTTAGTAAAGGGAAATTTGGAAGATGTTTTGCAGATGTTTACAGTGACTTCTTGCCAAGTACAGGGAGGTGCACTTAGAGGAAGTTTGAAGATGATTACTTCAAGGTGATGGGTGCTGGAGGTCCCAGATTTTACTTGCAGCATCAATTAGGTTTTACTGAGAGAACATAAGTGCCCTTTCACTCCTTCCTTATCTTTGGTGCAAGTAGGAGTGTTTTGCAAACACCAAGGAGCATTTTCATGCTCCCTCTGAGGCAAAGTGCTAGTGAGCAGACACACAAGAGATAGTTCTTCTGAGTGCTCATTGACTGTGTGCACTTTGAGGTGCTTAAAACATAGAAATTTTTTTTAGACTGCTTAACTTTATGTAGATGTATATGGCATTTGTGTCTCAAAGCTCTGATTGACTTGATCTGCAGATTGGAAATTTTCTGCAGTGAAACCCAAACTTGGATATCCTGAAAATGAAGAATATGATCCTTCTGTCCTTTGGAAACAACAGTACATTATCTTAAGAACTTTTGTGATAAATAAAACATTTTACTTGAATCATTCCAGAATCTGGAAAGAAACTCTTGATTTTGGTATTCTTTATAGGAACACACTTGGTCATCAGTGTCATTTCTTAGAAAATAGTTTTAGTTCTTGAGCTAATACTGGTGCACCTGAGAGGTAGAACCTGTTTTTTTTTGGAGGAGCATTTAATAATTACCAGATTACTGTTGCTTCTTCAGCCGTTCCAACTCTGGCTCATGGCTCCCTTTGCAAGTTTTGCCATTGCAGTGGGAGTCTGCAAGGCAAGTCCCCTTTGCTGATTCAGAATAGTCATTTGCAGTATTAAATGGAGTAGTAGTTGAGCAGACAAAAATAGATATTCTGACCATGTGGTTAAAGACATAATGTATATGTCCAAGAGAAGATAAATTAAAGTTACCTTGCCAAGTGTAATTTTAGTATTTCACACATTCCATAATTTTAGCAATGCTTTTTGAAGTTGTAATATTTTTCAAGTATTTGTATGTTTTGGCAATTTGGCAAGAATTAAATCCTTGGGTCCTCTTTGCTGAATCACTTGCTTGGCTACTGTGCAACAGCTTTCCTTTCCTCTAAATCACATGGTCAGGAGATCTCTGCCGTGAATCTTAAGGCTTGCACGTATGAAAAGCAGCACTCTCAGGCATGGAAACAGTAGGTCACAGGGAAAAGATATTTAGTATGTTAATATGTTATAGCATTTATTAATTGGTAGACAAACCTTTAGGAGGGGCACTGGCATTTTTGAGAAATAAAGAGGTCATATAATTTAGGGACAAAAGAAAGATGGGGGAATGTTGCATAACAGCAAAAAGGAAATCGCTCACTGCTGTTGATTTGTTCACTTGTGCTATTGTACTTTTACAGTAAAAATTAGGAGGATTGTAAAAGGAAGGATTTATCTCTAAGTATCACTTCTGTTAAATGATTAAACAGTGATATGTTTTCCATTACTTTATCTCCTATCTCTGTTAAGCTTAACTGTGAACCCTTAAAAAAGATTTTTTTTTTTTTTGGGCTTTAAAAATAAAATAGATTGCTTAAGCAGTGATTTTGTTCCATACATCTGTTGCTGGGATTTTGTCTTTTAAGCATCTGTAAAACTTCATAAGTATGAGTTATTAAATAAGTTATTTGCTCAAATTGATTTTTGCCATGTTGCCAAGGGAACACTGCATATGTCCATTGCCTTTTGGCCCCAGGGGAGGCACAGCAAGACCCACAGTAAAGAACTGAGTGCAGCCAGAAAAGTCCATTTGGCCGTTGACTGAGCCTGCTTGGGAGAGTCTCCTGCACATCACAGGAGAACAAATTGCCTCCTCTCCACCTGTCTCCAGAAGTTTTTGCTTTGGTGTCCTTGTCTTCCTTGCTTAGTGGGCTCTCTTAGCAGCCAGCTCTGGAAGGCCTTTGGTTTCTCATGAGAGATTTTTGATTACCAGAGGTTTGAAACATGTTTGTCATAGGGTTTAGCCATGGTGCTTTCCAGCTGCCTTGTTTGTACTCTGTGTACAGTGGCAGGCATGTGTTGTGGCACTGAGGTCAAGTCCACTAAGGGTCAAAAAGTTAAAATGGGGAACTATGTGCAGCACAGGTTGATGAATAAAACGTGGCGAGTTCAGAATGAAGATGTAAAATACCATTTTAAGCTATTAGATTAACTGCTTTCCTCTTTTTAATATTTTCTTTCTGAAATAAGTGTAATGTGGTTAACACTGACTTCAAGGTATTTCTGTTCATAATATCAAAACTACATTATTATATGTTGTGTCTTTTGAGTTGAAAAAACCCTCAAAACACAATTGAGACAATTAATACATTTTACTGTAGAATGGGTATTGAAGTGTACAGAGAACTATTAACAGACTATTTATTAATTTATAAATTTCAGATTGCATTTGATAAAGTATGAAAGATTTGCTGATGATTTGCTAAAATGAAATGAGAGGGTAAAAAGGCTTTTCTTGCAATCCACGTGGCTCTTCCTCATACCATGGTATGGCCAACTGAAAGCACACTTGTGTCTGCCTCCACATCTGTACTGTGTGAGCTGCTATTGTACCATTCCTGTTGTGTAATCATTCCATTTAATCCATGGTCTGCTTGCACAGTAACAGAGAGTGCTGCTTCTCCTTCTCTCCTCAGACAATACCAAAGCCCGCAGTAATGAATTTGCTGAGAAGAACGGACTTAAAAAATACGAGTACGTCTTACACCCACGAACGACCGGATTCACCTTTGTGGTTGAGCGTCTAAGGGAAGGTAATCCTGCTCTGTCCTTGCTTTTCCTTTAAAATGATTGGAACATGGAGAGATTTGAGACTTGATAACAGACAGATATCATCAGGAGGTATGCAGGGAATGAAGTCAACTTTTATGTTGTTTAGTTTTAAATATTTTAGCTTGTTTTGCAGTCTTACATCAGAAAACCAGTGGAAAAAGTCTCAAGGAAGTTCAGCCTGTACTGTCCTCAACCCCAAGTGGGTGGTTGACACTGAACACACAGGCACATATGTCACTGCCCTCTCTGAAAAGGCTTCTGGGTTTAATTCTGAGAGCTGAGTAAATGAATTGTTATGTTAAATGGACAAGGGGAATGCACAGCAGCGTGGAAATGCAGCAAGTCAGCTGCCCAGTGCTCCCAGGTGTTTTGGATGATGGTGACTCAGAGAAGCTGTGTGAAATACAAGTTGTGCTGCTTGGCAGGGTACTGGGCAAGAGAATGTGTGATACTTGCTTTTTACCCAGAAGTGGTTCTCCATCCCAATATTAATCTAGGGGTAAGGGTTGAGTCCCTTTTATCAGGAGAACAGAGTATGAAGATGTGATTGTTACACTGAGATGTCTGGGAGTTGTTTTGGGAATGGGCACATTAAGGAGATTCGAGGCCATCAGGATGTAACCTTTAAATAGCACAGATGTGGCAGGGATTCAGGTACAGATGAGTGAATATTTGCAGGATATATGGTTGAAGAAAATAAACATGTACAGTAGATATGAAGTGACTTTTTTATAGGCTGGTTCTTCAGGGAAAAGCAATTCTAGATCTTTAACACATGCTGGTTATTTTGACTGCCAAAAGAAGAAGTTTGAGATTATTAAAAAGAATAGGGGCCTTCTGGTAGGTTTTTTTGCTAGCTGGAATCGTTGCTTGGATTTTCGAAGCAGACCTGGCTTGCATTTTACCTGCTTCCTTCTAAGCAGATATCCTAAAATCACTGCAAGCACTTTGGAATTTTGTCCAGCTGGACAATCCCATTTATCTATTTGACCCTATTGGTATTACACATTCAGAGCTGGACACCTTAGATTTTTGTCTCTCTTGGATGTTTATTACTCAATTTGTTGTAGTAAAAAAATTTGCCACATACACAATTTCAAAAGCTTGTTTTACGTAAAACTTCACAGCATTAAGTTAACCTAGTGCATAACAGTATTTCAAACCTGGAATAAATTTTCAGTTAAAGAAATGTTTTCCACTTGAAATATTAATAACTTTAAAAAAATTCTGTATTTGCTGCAGGAGCAAGCTTTGTGGTATACAGTAATTTTATAATTTTATAAAAATGTTTTTCTCTTCCATTGCTCTATGAGCCATTTTTGCAAATTAGGCGGTTGGGTTATGAAAAGGAAAATATTTGAGGCTGATTAACTGATTTTGTGAAGTAGAAAGCTGGGGAAAAAACAATAACGGTCCAGCCTTTGAAGTGGTTTTACATCTCCTTTTTATTTAAGGCAGGCAAATATTGTGTGAAATATTAATGTCCCTTTTGTGTTGAATTTACTAGATATTGGATATTTTGATAGGCATTATAAGCTATATATATTATAACTGTATGCTATTATGTAGTAAATGGTGTGTGAGAAGGTATTTTAAAGTACTTGGTTATTACTTGTTAATTTAAGAATTGGTTTTCAACTGCTTCCAGGTGGGTGAAATGGGGACCATTTGTGTTGAAAAGTTTTAGGTTTTTTAATATGTGTGTATATATATATGTACAACCCAACTGTAGTTGCTGGACTTCAAAATACTTCATTATATTATATATAGATGTGCAAATCTATATCTACCTTTTATTCTGTACAATATAGATATCAAGGTTGATATTCAGATGCAGGTGGCCCAGTTGGTACTTGGTGTTATTGTGCAGCTCTGGTTTGAGTTATAACTGAAACTGATAGAATGCTTTCTTACAATCCCAATTTCTGATACTAGCAGTAGTCAATAAAACCAGGACTGTCGAGGGATATAGTGTTAACCTGAGTCTGCATTTCTGAATTGTCTTAATGCTACAATCATAGTAATAATCATAAGACCAGATGTATTTTCTTTTTTTACTCCTCATACCTGCAGGCTCAAAGCAGTGTGTGTGACTTCAACATGGAGGGGGCAGTGGTGGAGATTTTAACATCATGTTTACGTCTTTGAAAGCATTTTTGTGCATAGATGACAATCTTACTGCCCTATAGCTCTCCTGTGAATACATTTTGGCTCGTGGCTGTTTTCAATTCCTGAGGCTCAAGTGTCTTTTCTTCAGGCCTGAGTACATTATTTTGCTCCAAAAATAGGTTGATGAAAAGAGGGGGAAAATGTTGTTAGAAGTTTAACTGCTTTTCAAATGTTCAAGAAACTAATTTAATTTGGCAAGAAGCCTGATTAATATGCATCACAAGCTGTAGCATGAAAGAATTACCTTTTATTATACAAAAATGACTATTAGTGACCCTTCTGAATAGGAAATGAAGATTCAGGTGAAAATATCCTTCAATAAAATTTTGCCTGTGTCTGTGCAAAGGAGTTTGTTATGTGAGGAAGCACTGTCTGCACCCTGCCAGGATAAACCAAGCAGTTACCTGCTCTTTGCTTTCCATAGGTAGCAAAAATCCACTCAAACTCCTCTGGCTGGCATCTCTTTCTTTTAGGGTCATTATTTCAACTATTTGGTTTCTTTGGCCCATAGATGCTGCTGTGATGGTTTCTAAGTCACTGCTGAGATTTTGGCAGCTAAGAAAAAAAGACCTATATGATGTCCACCAAAAACCAATAAAAGTTGTTTAGGTAGTGCATCTCCTTGGCTTTTAAGTCATACCTTTTCTTTCCCCATTCTGGTTTATCTAAGTGGTAGCTCTTCCCCCCTAAGCTGTCTCTTCTAAACAGAAACCCACACAGAAGCTGACTGGTTTTTCCTTTCATTATGCTCAAGTGCCAGAACAGTGAAAATACGGTTTTATTTTTAAATTATCACATTATTGTCTTCTTATTCATAGAAACCATAGAATCACACAAGAGTAAACAAAGACTATGAACAAGCTTTAGATGTATAATTCATAATATATATACTCAAGAGAATAAGGACTTCAGCTGTTGCTAGTTTTCAAGCAAGAGATACCTGGTTGGTTGACTGTTGATGGAAAGCTAGGAGAAATAAAATCGGTGATTTGCATCTTTCTACTTCTGTTCACTTGGTCAAGTGAATAATTTGTCTTGTCTGAGCTGTAAGGAATCCTGATTTCAACCAGCACCTGGTAAAAAACTACTAGAGATTTTGCTGTATTTCTTTGGGGAATAAAGATGAGCATTTTTTTAAAGACAGAGTAAGAACATGTGAATGTGCAGCAGAAAGTGAACTCCAGGCTCCAAAATGAGGACTGATCATTACTTTTTTTAGTTAATCCCGCTCTTTAGCCATCTCCTAAAATCATATTTAATCCTTTTTTTAAGCCTGAAATTTTGAGTAGATGTTATGTGTGGAGTAATTTTTGGCAGCACTTGGGTTAAGGTAACTCATCTCCTTTTACAAAATGTGGGACCTTTCGAAAAGGGCTGAAATGTGAAGGAATTTAAATAAGACTTTTATAAAATCATGCCATTAGCAATGTTAATTGAAAACATTTGTGGTTTATATAATGTTCTTGAAGATCCACTTTGTGAGATCCTTCTATAACTCAGAAATTACGTATAGGTTTTCAGACCTGTTTGTATTTTGTAAAGTTTTTTTCTGAAGTGCCAAATGACATTGAAAGTTCAGCTGACTTGAATGCTCAGTTTCAAAGAGATGGAAAATAATACTGGTTTGATTTGATTCAATATTGTCTGGATTCATTGAATTACATATATTATCTTGGCATAATATCTGTAATTGTAGCCAAATAGTCTGTCAAGAGAAAATAGCTGTTTACAAATGTTTTCTTAAAATTGCTTCATGGCTTTTAAGCATTTTCTCAGGACTAAATAAACAGTAAGTGTTAAGACAGAGCTAACACTTTAAAGCATCATTAGAAGATTATTCATGCTTTTGTAGACAATCATTTCTGCCAACATTAAATTTAAACTGACCTCTTTTTGACACTTCCTCTACAGCCATCAACAATCTTTAATAGCTGGATACATTGGACTGGATGTTCCCATTATGGGGTTTATATTTTACTGGTTGTACAGTATAATGACTAGTCAGAATTAGTTGTCTTATTATAGTATTTCAGCTTTGAATTTAGTTCTGGTTCATAATTAGCCAACTGAAAAAAAATATTGCAGATAACATCTGCCAACTGCAGGATCCCAAAATAAACAAAGATACAAATTTAACATGCTTGCCTTCATTGTACATCCTTACTGATGGAAAGAAACTGATTCTCGTCCTTTCTCCATGTTTGGTTCAGAATTGATAATTTTGCCCTAAAATTAATGTTTATACACACACAGTTGAAGCTAATCTGTATCTTCTAATGTTCATACCTGGGTTTTAAAGTTGCTTCAGTAATTACATGCAGGTATTCAACCTGATTCATTGCTAGGGCGGGAAAGTTTTATTAGGTGTTCAGTCCATGTTATCTCTATATAAAACTGTAAATGCTTTAATCCTGGGATGCTTAGTGACTATTATGTAGATTCAGTAGTAGTGCAGATTCAGATTTTCTGTGAGTTAGAGTATCCAGATGTGCATATTTATATACTGAACTCTTCATGGCATTTATTTGGGTTCTGGTGCAATTTGCTTACACGGCACTTTTGAGCTAATAATGTAGGGAGGCAGTTTGTGATTTGTAGATCAATATAGAGGGCAGTCAGTAGGAGATGATGATTAACAGTTCCTGAAAGCTGACACACAGTTTGGCTCCCCTTTGCCTGGGTGTGAAGTAGCCAAGGTTAGGCAGCAGATCTTTGTGAGCAGTGCCTGGACATCCTTGCTGTGCACCAAGAATATTCATTAATGAAACCCTTCAGCTTGAAGTAGCCAGAGTTTATGAGCTCTCAGAGCTTT